GTGGGGGGCAGGGCCCCGAGGGGGCGGCCCGGGGCGCCGGGATAAGAGCGTGGCGGGCCACTGGCAGAGGCCCCGCATGGTGGCGGGCGGTGGCCCGGCGATGGCACTCGTGCTGCTTGGCCTGGCCGCGCTGTGCGGGAGCGCCGAGCCCCGAGAGCCGGTAAGCCCCCGCCCGCACCTTTTGCCCGGGTTCCCGTCGCTCGATCCCGGGCCAGCCCACGCTTCTCCAAAAGCACTCGGGGACCGCCGTCTGGAGGGGGCATTGAATGCACCCTCTGGGGGCAGCCCCGATGGGCCTAAGACCTCCATCAGCCCGGTAGGCATCGGGAGTGAGACTGCTTGAGTCAGGGGCGTGGGATTTAGACAGACGTGGTCTCAAATGCCACCCTGTGCCTTTGATTCAGTAACACAGGCTCGCCTCCCTGTCCTCAATGGCAAAACGAAGGGTAGCGCCTAGCTCGCCGGGGTCTGCTAAAGAACAACGACGCGGGGCCAGCCCCGTGGCTCACTCGGAAGAGTGCGGCGCTGGTAGCGCCAGGCCGCGGGTTCGGATCCTATGTAGGGATGGCTGGTGCGCTCACTGGCCGAGCGTGGTGCAGACCACACCATGCTGAGGGTTGCGATCCCCTTACTGGCAAAAAAGAAAAGCAACAACGCGGCCTGCAACGCAGAGGCAAAAAGCCTGGCACGAAGTTGGCGCTCATCATTGTTATTGCCTGGGGTCTGCCCACCTGTTGAGGTGCAAGAACTGTTTCTCCATCAGCACCGTTTTTTTTGTTGTTTTTTGTTTTGGCCATACTGATTGCCTCGTTGATTTGCAAAGGCAGGTTTCCTTTCTTACCCAGTGACTTGAATGATTGGGGGAATCTTCTGGGTCACTAAAGAGGAAAAAACTTATCCCCAAAATAGCGTTGGAAATTATATACCTGCCCTCTTAGCATAGCACATAGCAGAAAAGCATGGTGGCTACTTGTTGATGGTTATGGTATGACAAACCCTATTCATTGTTTCCTGATGTCTTCAGCTAAGATCCTTGCCCTTAGTCTCAATTCAAAGGCCCCCTTGGCTTTTTCCGCTGGAGGAGACATTCATTCCCTTGCGGTCATTGCTGTAAGGGCAACAGTTTGAACTCTGCAAAGTTTAGAGCTGTTGCTTGGCTTCTTCCTAAAACTTGTCTCACCAGCACTTTGACAAGAACTCAGCTCCTAGTGTGGTAGCTTACTTGTTTTTAAAAAATGTCTGATGATGTCCTTTAGAGTTCAGTTTTAAGAAGGCAACATGAGTGATTGACAATTTCGCCCTAATCCAAATTACTCCAACCATAAGAAGTCTTGCTTTCTGTCTCACAAGGCATTTGAAAGATGAAATTACAGAGCTGGTGGACTTATCACATGGCGTTTTGTCACCGGAACTTGCTGCTACCTAAAACTTAAATATCTTAGGTTCAGTATTTTATTCCAAAACCAAAGTATTAATTATTTTTTCTTACGAAAGGACATGAACAGTTAACTTCAAAGGCTGTAGTACTGGCCTTTCTTGGACACTGATAAATGTATTTGTTTTTTTGAAAGCCCTTTTAAAAAGATAACATGATGAAATCACAGTTGCTTCTGGTTTTCTAAATATCTCTGATGAGTCCTTTTGTATCAGAAGAGGAGTTATCTTAAAGAACCTGGGGAAGGTACCGTGGACTGCATTCATAGCTTTTTTCTGTTCTTCTTTTTATCACAGCCAGTCCTTAACCTGGCGATACTAAATAAATACTCCGAACTGTCCTGAAAACCTAGTTAAACATTAGTGCGTGAAGGGGCTTCCTGATGGCCCAAAAGTCATCCCCTGCTTGTAGCAGGGAAGGTGACACGAGAGGCAAGTGGAGACCTATCTCTGGTCTTCAAGTAAGGTAGTGGGCTGGCTTAAGGACCAGGTATACTGATGGCAAAACCATGGCTCATCATAGCCTATAAGGGGCAGCTTAATTTCCCCCAAGCTATGAAGTGAAACCAGCTCATCTTTTTTTTGAAAGTTTGTCACTTGCATATGCATTAAAGGAAAAAGATGGTGTTTTGTCTAATTTGGCAAAGGAAGACTTGTGGTTTGCTGGCTTCAACATGACACTTGTTTTTTTTTCTCTCCTGCAGACTATTCAGTGTGGCTCTGAAACTGGTAGGTGCATTAGGGAACGTATGCATTAAAGGAAAAAGATGGTGTTTTGTCTAATTTGGCAAAGGAAGACTTGTGGTTTGCTGGCTTCAACATGACACTTGTTTTTTTTCTCTCCTGCAGACTATTCAGTGTGGCTCTGAAACTGGTAGGTGCATTAGGGAACAGGTATTTGGGGCTTTACACTAAAAGCCAGTCAGACTTTTAGGGGGTCCCAAATCCAGGCAATGGGTCTTTGGAGACCAGGCAAAGGGTGAACCATTGCTTTGTTAGCTGAGGTGGATGAAGTCTCTATCTTCTCAAGGCAGAACTCTGGGGGAACGAAGAGATGTTTCAGATGGGCTGGCCTCCTGGCCAGTCAGGGAGAAACAGGGAGAGTGGGACTTACCATGCAATGTGGAAAGTGATGCCTGCCACTCTGCAGTGGGAGATCGAGTACCATGGAAGGGAGGTCACTTACAGTTGGGACCAGGAAGCAAATGTTTTATAGAAGAATGGGTTTTTCAGATGGTAGCATTAAAAAAAAATGTGGATAGAGAGGGTGAGCTGGAGGAGAGACAGTACCAGCAAAGGCTAGGAGGTGGGAACGTGGGGGTTGTGGGTGCAAGCTTCTGGAGTCCAGGGCAGAGGCATGGGGAAGGCAGGACTGACCCTAATAAGTGTGTCAAATATACTAAATACATACATTCATACGTACACAGGCACCTGGAATAGTCTCAAGTGCTCTATCAGATGGGGCCAGGAGGTTGAGAGTATTTCTCTGAGGTCAGCTTCGCATTGGCTATCAATCAGTCAGCACCAAGAAATGTTTGGCCTACCTTAGCAGGAAGAAATGATGAATTGTGAATGGGGGATAGATCAGGGTGGGTCACTGAGAGGAGATGGCATCAGCCTGGGCCAGGAAGGGGAACAGCTTGGGAAGTCTTGCCTTTTCCCAGGGCCATCTCCAGAGTGGATGGTTCAACACACTCTGACCCCAGGAGACTTGAGGGACCTCCAAGTGGAACCTGTTAAAACCAGTGTTGCAATGGAGGATTATTCAATTTTGATGAACATAAGCTGGATACTTCGGGCAGATGGTAAGTTTGCATCAATCAACGATAAGGCCTAAAGTGTCTACTAAACCAGAAATGTGCAGACTATATGACCCATTAATTCCACTCCTAGGCATCCCCAACAGACATACATACATACAGGCACCAAACGCCACGTACCAGGATGTTCATAGTGGCACTACTTCTAACAGCCAGTAATTGGAAAGTACTCAAATGCCCAGCAGTAGAGTGGAATTACAAATTGGGATCCAACACAGCAATGAGAATGAATGATCTATAACTACACACAGCAGTATGGATGAATTTTGTCACAAACACAGGAAGCCAGATTCAAAAGGGTTCATGCATTTATGTCTGTACGCATACCTACAGTCGTACATTCCATATGATTCCATTTACAAAAGGTGCAAAACAGGCGAAACTAATCTGGTGGTTACAAATCAGGACAGTCTGGCCAGTTAGCTCAGTTGGCTAGAGCACAGCCTTATAACACCAAGGTCACGGGTTTGGATCCCCGCACCAGCCAGCTGCAAAAAAAAAGAAAAGAAAAGAAAAGAAAAGAAAGAAAGAAAAAGAAATCAGGATAGTGGTCACTCTAGGGGTGGGAGTGACTGAAAGGAAGCATGTGAGTCACTCCTGGGGTGTTTCTTGACCTGTGTTCTGGTCACATGAGTATGCAAATTCATCAAGTGGTATCCTTATGATCTGTGTACTTTTCTGTATGTTTGACTTCATGGGAGAGGGTAGGGTAAGGCCGGAGATGATCCCCCCCCCAAGTTTGGGAAAAGCACTGGCTTAGGTAGACTACTTTTCTACTTCCCAAATGGCACCATGAAAGTCTTGGCATTCCCCAAGATTATACTGCAAGGCAACTTGTGAGTTTTTTCTGAGATCCTAATGCCCATGTTTGTGGTTTTCATCTGCTAAATTCAGTTAAATTCTGTCCAGTCAAGAATCCATGAGCATACACAGATGATTTGGCTACACTCTCCATGCCATAGGGTTTTCAGAGGGGTTGGGGGGCAGGGGCAGGCAGGGGCAGGCAGACACAGGCACAGTGTCGGGAATCCCAGAAGGAGCTTTGTTACATCTGAGTGGGATGGGGACAGAGAGGACCAAGACGGGCCCTCATGAGACTGCTTTAAGGATTTGGCCTCATACCTGGCACATAGTGAACTCTGTTAGCTGTTGTTATAGGCTTTGGTGCATGAGTTGGACTTCAAAAGAGTAAGACTTAAGAGGTAGGGAATGGGAGGAAAGGAAATTCCAGGGAGAAGAATCAGCATGGATAAAGGTGCAGTCACAACAGGCAGCGTTTGGTGATAGTACTTGAAGGGTCTTTTTGCCAAAGCAGGCCTGTTATTCTTAAAAGAGACCCAGACCAGAGCAGTGCAGAACTATAGTCACCTTTTCAGGTATCCTGTGAAATTCAGGCTGACCTGTGAGGAGGAAGGACCTTGGGCTTTGGAATTTCAATTCATATCTGCTGCTGATGAGCTATGTAGCTTAGGCAAAAAAGCTTCCTGAAACTCCCTAGGCCTCACTTATCTCATCTGTAAACTGGGGACAATGCTGCCTACCTTTTAGTGCCATTGTGATATGAACTGGGATGAGGCACGTAAAGTATCTAGCATCAAGTCAGTCAAATAGTAAGTGCTAAATAACTTCTCTCACGCCTGTCTCTGCAGCCAGCATCTGCATGTTGAAGGCCACCAAGATCTGCGTGACAGGCAAAAGCAACTTCCAGTCCTATAGCTGTGTGAGGTGCAATTACACAGAGGCCTTCCAGAGTCAGACTAGGCCCTCTGGTGGCAAAGTAAGCACTTTTAGGCACTTGGCCAATTGTTGTTGAAAGCTGGGCCCTTTTTGGGGAGGGCATAGATGATGTGCTGCACAATAGTCTGATGAGCCGCCACAATGCTGAGCCTAGAGAAGGATGCCTGGCTTCAAATCCCACTTTTGGCCACTTATCTGCTTTATGTCTTAAGCAAGTCAGCATCTCTGGGCCTCTATTTCCCCATCAGCAAAGTGGGGAGCTGGACTTAAATTATATCCTGGGTCTAAAATTTTACACTTCTCTGATTGTGTGAGTTACATTGGCAAATTGTGAGGGGCTCATGCCCTAAGTCGTCATTGGCTAGAGACATAAGTTTCAGCAGTAGAATGAGGAATGAAATTATAAATGAGGAGAGCAGCACACTGTTTCTACATTACACAGTGTTGTGGAAACTCAGGGCTCCTTGCTTTGCCTTTCAGTGGACATTTTCCTACGTAGGCTTTCCTGTGGAGCTGAACACACTCTATTTCATTGGGGCCCATAATATCCCCAATGCAAATATGAATGAAGATGGCCCTTCCTTGTCTGTGAATTTCACCTCACCAGGTAAGCGTCCTCTTCTGTTACTCTCTGTCTTGCTGGGACACCTGCTTTGGGGTATGTGGTTTGGTACAGACAGCCTGGGGAGCAAGGTCTTTGGCTTGCCAAGTCTGTTTCCCCATTTTTAATATGGACACAGTGGTGACTGCACCTCATTCACTGAGAGGAGAGAATTAAGTCAGGTAAAATGTAGGGAAAAGCCCATCCCTGTGTGTCAGGCACTGTGCTGAGTACTTGACATGTGTCATCTCACTCTGGCCTCCCAACACCCCCAGGTTAGGATAGCCCCATCTTACAGATGAAGAAATCGAGAAGTGATGTAACTTGCCCTGGTTACACTCACACTGAAAATTAAGCTGACATTCAGACTCTGGTCCTTCTTGATAAATGCAGTTTGGCTGCTCTTTATGTCATTGATGCAAAATGTGTTTTCCAGTCTCAGCCTTCAAGTGGGCTGTGTGTAGCTGGGTCTCTGAGGATCTATGGACCCCAGTGGGCTCGTCCCCTGAGCTGTCTGGGAGAGGCAGAGTGGTACTGAGATGAATGCTGGCTTCCTGGCCCAGCTCTGTGACACAGGGTCAATTCTCTACTACCATGGCTGCATTGTCACATGTGCAGCCATGGTGAGGATGGGACAGTATCATGTGTTTGAGGGCCCATCTGGGTTGAGCCACCTGTTCTGTACTCCAGTCCTGTCATCTGTCTCAGGCAAGGTGTCAAAGCTAAATGTGGCAATTTTCAATTTGTTGTTGTGCTTTGAGTGTGGTCCAGGGTGTTTTCGGTGCCACACCATTTACTACACAACAGTTTCCAGCTTTCTTGGTAATACCAAACTTCACTTGGCTTTTAAATAAACTTTTTTATTTTGGAATAACTTTAGACTTACAGAAAAGTGGTGCCACACCATTTACTATACAACAGTTTCCAGCTTTCTTGGTAATACCGAACTTCACTTGGCTTTTAAATAAACTTTTTTATTTTGGAATAACTTTAGACTTACAGAAAAGTGGTAAAGATAGTACAAAGAGTCCCCATATACCCCTCACCCAGTTTCTCCTGTTAACATCATCATCATGGTACATTTGTCAAAACTAAGAAATGAACATTGGTACACTTGTATTAACTAAAATCCAGGCTTTATTTGGATTTCATCTGCTGTTTCATTAATGTCTTCCTTCTGTTCCAGTTGCATTTAGTAATTTGTACTTCTTTAGTCTCCTCTGGTCAGTAACAGTTTCCTAATTCGTTTTTCATGACCTGGACAGTCTTGAGTTCTGGCCAGACATCCTATAGAATGTCCCCCAATTTGGGTTTGTCTCATGATTGGACTGGGGATGTGGGTTTTGGGGAAGACTACCACAGAGCCGTGGGGACCCTTCTTGTCTCATCCTCTGCCACATCACTGGTGATGTTCACCTTTATTACTTGATAAAGGTAGTGCCTGCTGGGCTTCTCCATGTAAATCTACTATTTTTCCCTTTCCCAACTCTAGTTTTTGGAAACAAGTCACTAAGTCTATGCCACCCTTGGGTGGGTGTGTGAGCGTAGGTTAAACTTTATGCTGTGGAAGGGGCAATAGCTTCGTATATTACCAAACCTCATTTTAAAAGAATGGCCGATTTCCTAGTCTTCTCTTGGAGATCACAGATACTGTTTTGATAAAGATTTTATTTAAATTAGACTCGAGATATGACTTCATGGGCAGATGATCTTATGCTTAACAGTAAAATATAGTGTCCCTTTTAAATGTGCTATCTTACTTCTGAATGTTTTGGCAAATCATTACAAGTGTGGCATGCATGTGTATGTGTGTACTTTTTGGCAAGGGGGTAGAGCAGAGATACCTTTTCCTAAAATGTAAAATCTTTCATTCAAATTTCCAGGTTGCCTAGACCACATAATGAGATATAAAAAAAAATGCATTGACGCAGGTAAGTAAATACAATATTTACTTTTGTTGTTTGAAGAAAGTCATAACTTGAACCAGCACAGCTCTGTCCATCTTTTGACAGATGAAGAAATGGAGGCCTAGAGGGGGAGCTGTGTGTCCAAGTCACCCAGACAGTGAAGGCAGAAGCCCAGGGCTCCTGCTCCCCAGCTAGTGCTTTGCCCACTGAGTCAAGCATCCTGTCCAGGAAAGGACAGACTCTTAGTAGAATTATGTAGTGGAAAAATAGTCACATAAAATCACCTCACCCCTTGGACAATTTAATATTTTAGCCCAAACTGTACTTACAGTGGCACTGATTGAATGGGACTCCTATGAGCCCTTTCACCTGTTCAGACACCAGCACCACTGACCTGTGGCCATGGGGACCCTGAGAACCTTCTGTTTGGATTAGCAAACATTCCAGGTGGGAGTGTTAGCTGAAGGAATGAAATAGAAGCATGCTCTCAACCTGTGTCCTCAAAGGGTCACCTTGCACATGCTAGACTATTAGAACCCACTGCATTTTGAAATAAGCCCCCTTAAGATACTCTCTAGTGTCCAATATCCAAAGGACTGTGTAAATTTCTGGGTAATATGGTCTTGAGATACTTATAAAAGACTAGTGGGATTTAGGGGGAATCAGTCCTAATCTTTTAGGCACCCTTCGCCCCACAAGACATCCCTATGTCCCCTGTCAGACTGAGGTGTGTGCGCTGTCCTTGTTAGAGGGAAGACTGGAGCATCGAACTTCCTCTCTTGCCTCCTACCAAGAGAAGTGTATAGGAGTGTGTATGACATGAAGGCGTGTGAGGTCTGAGGGCCTTGACTTGAACTCCTAAAGACAGTTCTGAGCCAGGGCCTGACATGGTCTCCTAGGTTGGAAAGATAATTCATGCTATTATATATCATGTTCCTGGAAATCAGCCTAGTCCTTATTTACAAGTCACATCGATGAAACAACTGACTTTGTCTGACGGAGTCAACCTGTCAGGGTATCCTCTAAGTTATGAGGCATTTCCTTCTTTCTTTGCATCTAGTTAGGCTGGCAGAATGGTCTAATGGACGAAGCTCCTAAAACAGAATATTCTGGTGGTTGTAGTCCTGATCCAGAATTCACTTGCTCTATCATCTTAGATATTCTGTCTCCTAACCTGTGCTTCCTTCTCCCCATCCTGCACAGGAGAAAATACTAACCCTAACCCCTAATTCAAAACAGAGGCTGAGAACAGAAGTGAGCAGTAGCTCCCAGTCTGTGCCTCCTACCACCCTCAGCCCAGGGAAGCTATTTTTAGCAAGCAGTAGTACAGGCCATAAACTCTCTTGGGCAGCAGGTGCCTTGAGGCTCTGGGAGCTATGATAGAAAGTACACCGTATAGGAGAGTCCCTAGCTCTTGGGTGTGTAGCTTGAGAACTGAGTTTTATTTCTGTAAAGCCCTTCCGGGGACTTAAATGAGGGAACAGCAAGTTCATCCACATGAACCTCTTTCAACCCATAGGAAGTCTGTGGGATCCAAACATCACTGCTTGTAAGAAGAACAAGATGTCAGTAGAAGTGAACTTCACAACCAGTTCCCTTGGAAAGAGATACATGGCTTTTATCCAACGTAATGGCGTCATTGGGTTTTCTAATGTGTCATCGGAGGTACTTTTCCCTTAGTTCCCTAATATCACCCCTAACTTCAGCCTCCTTATCTTGTGGAAGGAAAATGTGGACACTTTAGGATTCTCTGAATAGGTTCTCTTGTGAGAGAGGACAGGACTGTTGTCTGTTGTCCAAATGTGCTGAGCACAGGACTGTCTGTTGTCCAAAATGTGCTATTTGATTAATTAGACACATAAAAACCAGCCCCTGTGGGCATCCTGGGTTATGTCTCTGTGAGTCTAAAACCAACCGAAGGTAGAAGTTTCAGGAGTATGAACTGATCCCTTGTTCACGCATAGTCTAATGTATTGCATGTCAGTGTGGGAAGAGTGGCTTCTTCACTGGCAGTCTCTGATCTGCTTGCTCTTGTGACTCATAATTCTTGACTCTCATTTATCTGCACCAGAACAAACTGACACGAACTTCTGTAGTGATTCCAGTGATGGAGGAAAGTGAAGGTGCTGTGGTTCAGGTAAAGTTCGGTGAGGTGTTTGGGGAGGGCAGGGACACTGGAAGACTGATTGTCCACCGTGAATCGCCTCTGATGAGTCCTGTCAAGGATGTGGTTCTTTCCTCTCAAATTCACTTCTGCCAGTGGTCCTGTATGAAGTGACTTCAATGGGGGACTCCTTCATTGCAGTCTTCAGTGGTGAGGTCAGGAAGGTGACCTTGCAGTCATGGGCCCTTATGCTTATATTAGTAGCTGCTGACTTTCCAAAGTGCTTTTATTTCCAATTTCTGTCACAGACCCTCAGAGTAATTCTGAGTTAGAAGTACCATTTTATTTTCCCAAGCCTCAGTTTTAACTGCAAAATGAAGCTGCAAAGAATTTGAAATTGGAAGGTTTGGGTTCCAGATCAGTGTATGAATTTTGAAAAGTGACTGCCTGTTCTCTTGGGGCCTTAGCTGACTCAGCTAGAAAACAGGGAGTTAGGCCAATGCTTGTTCTCAGGGCTCTTTCAATTTATGATGTGGGAACACGGAGGGTCCCAGCGAGACACGGCCACCTACACCCAAGAGAGTAAGGAGCTTTTGTTCTTCATTGCCTGGAACATGAAGGCAGTGCTTAGACATGCCACAGGGAGCACACACCTGTCTGTTTACTATGACTGCACCCCTTTTCCAGGGAACCAGACTGTCATAGTCCCAGGGGACTTGTACGCCATGAAGCACTGTCTGAAGTCAGTAGCAGCACTACTATTTTTCTGGAGGAAATATTTGTATGTGTATTAGGATGTAACCCAACCCCTTCAGATAAAGAAACCAGTACGTTAGTAACATGTACAAAGTTTAGGTTCAGAACCCTGGAATCTTAGAAGGCATTTCAGTCTTGCATCATTGGTTTGGATTTCTGGGCTTTGTTGCACAAGTGTGACCAATAAAAAAAAGTCCATGACAATGCTGGAGGTAGGGCTGGAGCCAGAAAAAAAAGGAAAGTGAAGTTTTGATGGAAGTAGGAATGTTGAGATTTTGCTCTGAAGCATGACGAGAACTTTCTGAGCCTCTCATTTTTCCTTAGGTGATTCCATATTTCCCTACTTGTGGCAATGACTGCATCCGACGCAAAGGAACTGTTGTGCTTTGCCCACAAACAGGAGTCCCCTTCCCTCTGGACAACAGTAAGTGCCCATCATTTTCACAGGATGATCAAAAAGGTCCAGGACACGAAGGGCCCATCACTGTCCCCCCAATCAATATGTCACAGGATGTGTCCATGTGGGGAGTGTGATGGGAGTCCCTGCCTGTGTGTGCTGAACTGGGGTGCAGAGAAAGCTGCCAGTGCTGTCCCAGAAAACAATAATGAAGGCTTTATTTATAAAACCATTCACAACCCTTTATAAAGCAGGATATACAGAAAGGAAAGAATAAACAGTGCAAAATGGATGTTCACAGTGCCACAGGACCTGCTGGAAAAAGTCAGTGGTGTAAAAGAACAGGGTGAAATGTGCATTTCCCTGCACTCTGTTTCTCTTATCAGTCTCAGCAGCCCAGGCCCAGCTGTAACTGTGACTTGATGTGGTCACCCAGCCAACATTTGGATAACGAATTAGGAATACTGGCACCAAAAGACATGCCTCACTGGTGCCTGAGAGCATCACGTTCTGGAACATGTCTCTCTGGATTTAAAGATGTGTCAATTCTTTCTTTATAGGTGGACAGACAAAATGTTTCCATGACTAGGCCTGGGGTGGTGTCAAAGGTTGAATGGTGTTATTCTTAGAATCTTAGCCACACCAACTAAAGACCACCCAGGTGCCTAACAGTTGTGACTTCTGTGTGGGCACAGTGCCTTATGGACACCCGAGCACTTTGGTGTGCCTGAGCTCACCTGATCCTCGATGTTTCTGTGAGAGGGTGGCATTATCCCCCACATATGTCAGCCCAACAAAACAGCCTTTAAGAATGCCATCTATGCATACTATGTATGTAAGTAAATGTATCCAGAATAACATCAATTCCTCAAGGAACAAAAAACCAAATGTAAACTGGTTACCACAGTGAAAATGCCTGTGCATTTAAGGAGGAAGAAGCCAAAGAGATCTTAGAGGACTGTTTGTAACTTTTTTAACTTAATGGGTCCCATATGCCTTTTGAGAATCTAATAAAAGACCTGGACACTCTATGGAAAAACACACCCATCAGCAGGCTCCCCAACGATCTTCTGACCCTTGGTTTTAAAGGGATTAGACTACACTTGTACAAAGTATGGAGTAAAAATCTTAGTTTTCAAATAGAGATAAATGTGGTTATGTTTGGACAAAGGTAAGCAAGCTTTGTTTTCTTCAGACACACGTGTGCTAGGAGACTGGCTGCTTCTTCTTCTGCCATCTCTGCTGGTGGCCGCATGGGTGCTGGCGGTTGGGATCTACCTAATATGGAGACATGGTAAGGGTTATAATTCTCCAAAGATATCCAAATGAGGAAATAACATTTTGAATTTTCTTAAATGAGATTCCTCCAGAGGCAATCAGACATTGGCATTTCCTAGTTAGATAGCATTTATTTAATGCCCTAGAGCATTCCTATGGAGACTGATATGATAACTGGATCACACCTGCCAGGTTAAAGCAGGGTCAGGACTTCCAGATCTGGTGTCTACTACCTGTTTTATTTTTACCACTGAGGCATCTACAAGTACCAAAATGGGCAAAAGATGGCTGATAACAAATTGCATAGGTACTCTGTGCTAGTTCCTACTCTTTAAAAATACTTCTGCTAAGGCATAAGAGAAATATTCACTTGGATTCATATACTGTCAAAGAACTTTGTCAGCTCTGAATACAGAAATCAGAGTATTTATATAAATACATTTAGAGGCAGACCCATTAAAAACCTCTACTTCCCCTCCTTTCCACATGTAGAAAAGGAAATACAAACATACCCTGAGTTGTTTGTGACACTGTGGATAGAACAAAGTTAACTCTGTTCTAAGATAAGAAAGCCATGTGGCACTTTTACCTCAGAAATACTTATATTTAGGGGATGCTGTTTGACCCGTATAGTTTCACACATTGTTCCGGTTTTATAGCACCTTATAGGGCAGGATCCAGTTAAGGTCCAGGGGCTGAAATGGGGCAGCACTTTATGGAACTATAAAGAAACTCTACCACCTGCAGGTAGAAGATGGTACTAACTACTGACCTTATAGGGCAGGATCCAGTTAAGGTCCAGGGGCTGAAATGGGGCACCACTTTATGGAACTATAAAGAAACTCTACCACCTGCAGGTAGAAGATGGTACTAACTACTGAGTTGACCCAACTCAGAATGTGATATGCAGTGCAAAGGTCAGGGGTCTCTGTTTACACCCAGCACTAAAACTACTAAAATTACAATCCCCACCTCAAATAAAGTACCTAAAACCTAAACAGTTTCCATGAATTTACTTGAAAAGACAAGGCTTGATTGACAGGACTGGCTACTGATAGGGACTTAGAAAGTACATCTTTTAAAACATTTTGAAGGTTTAAGCATTAATATGTTTCAGGCGATGTGTTCAAAAGGACTATCAGGGTATTCTTCCTGTTTGGCAGTAACAAGGTCCCTGGTGCTCAGCACGGGATCATTATTTATCAATGATAGTTTACACTAGAGTGAAAGCCTATTTGCTGTTCACAGATATCAAATGCTTTTCTCCCCCAACAGAAAGAATCAAGAAGATTTCCTTTTCTACTACTACTCTCCTGCCTCCCATTAAGATTCTTATAGTTTACCCATCTGAAATATGTTTCCATCACACAGTTTGTTACTTCACTGAATTTCTTCAAAACCATTGCAGAAGTGAGGTCATCACTGAAAAGTGGCAGACAAAGAAAATAGCTGAGATGGGTCCAGTGCAGTGGCTTACCATGCAGATGCAAGCAGTGGATAAAGTAGTCTTCCTTCTTTCCAATGATGTCAACAGCATGTGTGACAGTACTTGCGGCAAGAGGGAGGGAAGCCCCAGTGAGAACTCTCAAGATCTGTTCCCCCTTGCCTTTAACCTTTTCTGCAGTGATCTCAGAAGCCAGACTCATTTGCACAAATACATGGTGGTCTACTTTAGAGAGGCTGATACCACAGACAATTACAGTGCCCTCAATGTCTGCACCAAGTACCACCTCATGAAGGACGCCACTGCTTTCTGCACAGAACTCCTCCATGTCAAGCAGCACGTGTCAATGGGAAAAAGGCCACAAGCCTGCCACAATGGCTGCTCCTCCTTGTAGTCCACCCATGAGAAGCAAGAGACCGAGAAGCCTTCCTACCCTACCAATTTCAGGGAAAAAGCATTTGTGATGATTGTGAAGTTTACAGGACAGCCTACAAGTAGCTTAGTAGTTAAAAATATTATGCCAATAAAATTAACTAACATTACTATGGTAGCATTAATGAAAGAATTGAAACTAAATATATAATTACAAAGTTAATTTTATATCTAGAAATCAAGAAGTTATAACTGAAAACTATAACCATTCTGATAATAGTGATAAAGCATCTTCCAGCCAAACATCCAGTCTTGAATAGCCATGCTTTGCACTGTGGGTAGAACTGTTTTGCTCTGTACTATTATAAGTTTAATGAATGAATTCTAATGTAAGAAGCCCTCACTAATATACTCAATATCTTTTTAGGTGAAAAGCCCTCTATTACAACAATCTTTAAATGTAATATAATACAAGTAGGGAATAACATGCTGAACCCATCTTTATTGACCAGATGATCTTGTATATGTGTAACCACTTGTAGTATTTGGTATTCACATAGGACCTCCCCTCTCCAAACTAGATTCATGTCCTAACGCTTGCACTTTTAACATGAACACCAAAATACATCACCTGCAAATCTGGTATGTACTTATGTCCCAAGTGCATATTGAAGGCCACTGTCAGAATTCGTGGAGTTTCTTGGTTAACTTTTCACATTCAAAATGAAAATTCTTTGGTTAAAAGTATGCCCTCTTGAAGTAGTTAATCTTTTTATAAATGAGTTATAATGGTTTAAATAAAAAACAAACTACCACAGAGTTACAGAACACAAAGATGTGATATTTTAAGTTTTCTGACTTATTTTTCTAAAAGCATCTTTTTCTTAACACAGAGGTCACAAAAATGTATTTATAGTGGCAAATGTATCTTCTAGGAATGCTTGTTTCATACAGTGCAATACTGAATCTGCTCTGGAATGTGGATCAGTATCAGATGGTTGACTGTTAAAATGTATTTGCAGATTTTCCTTAAAGGACCATGTCACTTTTTCTGATACATGTCTTATGGATAAAATAAAAACCAAAGTAAAGCAGCATAAAGTGAAAACTCACTGTGTTCAGCTTCACCAGCAGGTACTTAGTAATGGCTGAGGCAATATGTTACTGTGGGAAAGCTCACTTGTCATGATTAGTTTTCACAATGCTATAAGTGCTGGTGACAGAAGACGGACATGGCTCATGTCAAAATGTGGACCGGAAACCAACTTCCTCTGAATCAACATTACCAGTTATAAGAGCAATATGTTATGTGAAGAACTATTATAAACCTAAATACATTATGCTTTTGAAAATAGGTAGCCAATACTAAATTGCGTTGAAACAGCCCAGATATGTAGATAAAATCAATACTGTATAAATTTATTAAAAAATGAAAAACAAACAAGCAATTTCCAAATTGAAGGCATACATCCCAGATAGATTTAGCAAGTTAAAATTATTTTGTTATACTGGTGGACTCATTGTTTCTAACCTAAGCAGTTACACAGCGTACTCCTATTTATGCAAAATACTCCAGCACCAGCATTTCTCTACAGTCTAAGACTTCTATATTCTATTCTTATTTCCATCTTTCATTTGTCCCTACTTTTGTCTTTCCCCCAGCCTCACCCCTGTATCCAGTCTTTTTTTTAAAAAAGATGACCGGTAAGGGGATCTTAACCCTTGACTTGGTGCTGTCAGCACCACACTCACCCAGTGAGCGAACCGGCCATCCCTATATGGGATCCAAACCCGGGGCCTTGGTGTTATCAGCACCGCACTCTACCGAGTGAGCCACGGGCCGGACCAATCCAGTCTTTTTTTAATTGAAACAAAATTGATTATACATTATCTATGGGTACAGTGTTGAATATCAATACCTGTGTGCAATACATGATTCTCAAATCAGGATAATTACTATATTTACCATTACACAATGTAATCATTTTTTAAGGCCCTTTACCAATTTCTCACTAAACCTCTCTCCCTCTCCTCCCACCTCTGGTGGCCTCAGTTCCATTCTCTCCTTTTGAAAGTTCCACATTATTATTGTGATTGTTGAGTCTTTTTTTAAATTTTTTTTTAGCTCCCACTTATGAGTGAGGACATGCAGTATTTCTCTTTCTGTGCCTGGCTTATTTCACTTAACATAATTTTCTCTAAGTTCATCCATGTTGTTGCAAATGGCAGAATTTCATTCCTTTTTAGGGCAGAGTCGTATTCCACTGAGTATATATACATTTTCCTTATCCAGTCATCCGATGATGGACATTTAGGTTGGTTCCAACTCTTAGCTATTGTAAATAGAGCTGTGATAAACATGGGGATGCAGGTATCCCTTCGACATGATTTCCCTTACTTTGGGTGTACACCCAGCAGTGGGATTATTGGAATGTATGGCAGTCCTACCTGTAGTTGTTTGAGGAACCTCCACACTGTTTTCCATAATGGCTGCACTAACTTACAGATCCACCAACAGTGTCAAATCAAGTCTCGATAAGCGAAATGGTGGACGAAGGTGCCTAGCAATGAATGGCAGGAACCAGGCATTCTCTCACTCCTCCCAGGTCTCTGAGCCACCAGGATGTGCTCACTGCCTGGATCCTGTTTCCAGACAATGCCTTCTCTTCCTCTTGTCAGGGGTTCAGAAGGCTTCTTCAGGGCCTAGACCACCAGCGGTAATAGCTGTCAGTATTATTTAGATTTTGCTTCAGAATGCTCACAAGCTAAAGTCAACTGATCACACTGAACATAAAGAATTCCAAAGCTTTCACTTGGTTTTTCATGTAAAGGAAAACTGGCTGATTGATAATTAAGTTAGTAGTAATTACAGCAGTCACCTTGTTTGTCTGTACAACACAAGCTAACAACTCCAAATTATACCTAAATAATTTTTATTTGGCTTCAGGAAAGAAATAAGATTTCCTTTTCAGCTTTTCTTGTTTTAGTCAAATAACTGTTTTCTTTCCCCAAGCCCATCCTACAGCATGTCAGGTAACAAAAGCCAGCCAGCCCAGCAATAAATCTTTGCCTCTGGAAATCTAGACCTCAGTGTGTCCCAGTCTTTTTTGTAATCCAACAGAAAATGAAAAAGAAAAAAAGAAAAAAACCCAACTTTTTTTTCCTACTTGGAACTCCAAGTGGACGTTATACATGCATATAACTCAGACAACTTTAGATGCTAACTGCTGTAGCAGACCAGAGGGAAAATGGCATGACCAGACATTTCTTCTCACAGTCACACACTACCCCCCATGGCTAGATAAGACTGCCTGTTGATGACACTCAGAAGTCAACTTAAACTAAGGGCTTCACCACGTGAGAATGCTTAACAGCAAAATTTTACATCACTAGGGAGTTGAGAAAGGGTCAGGAGAGTATACAACTGAAGAGTAAGTTCATATTTATTCTCAAATGTCCTGACTACAATAGCAGCTTATAATTTCAAACCAATGTCATGTCCTCAACATAAAGTTGAAATTCATTTATTTTTCCCAAGGTCAAGGGTTTGGATCCTAGTACCAGCCAGCTGCCAAAAAAAAAAAAATTCATTTTGAAAGATTCATATTATCTTTTTTTTTTTTTAAAAAGGTGACCGGTAAGGGGATCTTAACCCTTGACTTGGTGTTGTCAGCACCACGCTCAGCCAGTGAGCGGGAACCGGTCTGTATGTGGGATCCGAACCCTCGGGCGGGAGCGCCGCCGCGCTTCCCAAGCGGTGCACTTATCCAGTGCGCCACCGGGCCGGCCCGGAATATATGTATTTTCATTCATTGACCTAGATGCTTAAGTTGCATGAAAAATGAATTTTTTTTTTTTTTAAAAAGGTGACCGGTAAGGGGATCTTAACCCTTGACTTGGTGTTGTCAGCACCACGCTCAGCCAGTGAGCGGGAACCGGTCTGTATGTGGGATCCGAACCCTCGGGCGGGAGCGCCGCCGCGCTTCCCAAGCGGTGCACTTATCCAGTGCGCCACCGGGCCGGCCCGGAATATATGTATTTTCATTCATTGACCTAGATGCTTAAGTTGCATGAAAAATGAATTTTTTTTTTTTTTAAAAAGGTGACCGGTAAGGGGATCTTAACCCTTGACTTGGTGTTGTCAGCACCACGCTCAGCCAGTGAGCGGGAACCGGTCTGTATGTGGGATCCGAACCCTCGGGCGGGAGCGCCGCCGCGCTTCCCAAGCGGTGCACTTATCCAGTGCGCCACCGGGCCGGCCCGGAATATATGTATTTTCATTCATTGACCTAGATGCTTAAGTTGCATGAAAAATGAATTTTTTTTTTTTTTAAAAAGGTGACCGGTAAGGGGATCTTAACCCTTGACTTGGTGTTGTCAGCACCACGCTCAGCCAGTGAGCGGGAACCGGTCTGTATGTGGGATCCGAACCCTCGGGCGGGAGCGCCGCCGCGCTTCCCAAGCGGTGCACTTATCCAGTGCGCCACCGGGCCGGCCCGGAATATATGTATTTTCATTCATTGACCTAGATGCTTAAGTTGCATGAAAAATGAATTTTTTTTTTTTTTAAAAAGGTGACCGGTAAGGGGATCTTAACCCTTGACTTGGTGTTGTCAGCACCACGCTCACCCAGTGAGCAACCGGCCATCCCTATATGGGATCCGAACCTGTGGCCTTGGTGGTGTCAGCACCACACTCTCCCGAGTGAGCCACAGGCCGGCCCATTTTTTTTTTTTTTAAAAAGGTGACCGGTAAGGGGATCTTAACCCTTGACTTGGTGTTGTCAGCACCACGCTCACCCAGTGAGCAACCTGGCCATCCCTATATGGGATCCGAACCTGTGGCCTTGGTGGTGTCAGCACCACACTCTCCCGAGTGAGCCACAGGCCGGCCCATTTTTTTTTTTTTTAAAA